GCAGATTTCAGCCAAGGAGAAAAAGACCCCTTGACTCCGTATTTGACCTGAGGTGATTATTTTGTGCATTCTTTTTTTTTAATTTTTATTTTTTGCTAGTGCACTGTCACTTCATTTATCTATTGGGAATATTTGGCAGCTTCAGTTCTACGAGTGATATGGGAAATAGCTGCAAAGAAAATAAAAATGGCTGAAGTTATTCACAAACTAATTGCAATCTAATGCCAAGTCCTTAATCAGTGACATCTCATATTCTGTGCTCAGATTCATTCTTTTTTTTCTGTTGGGGAAGGCCCAGATTTCCTGCCAGGGCGGATGTCAGAAAACATGACAAAAATGCCCATTTAGCAGGTACAAAGTAATGCTATCTGCGGATCTAACATGGACTTGCTGTTATGCCTTGGAAAAGTCAATTGCTTCCCCATGCCTCAGTTTCCCCACTGGCTGTATGGCAATAATAGCACAGCACCTACCTCTGGACACCAGTGTGCATTTCTCTGACATACATTTGTCTGACATATACTCTGTCAAAACCAGTAGGAGTCCAGATATCTTGAAGGGACATGAAGTGCTGTTAAAGAAGCACAACTGGCTACCTGACCTGTAGATGATTTGCCTAACCTTCCAGCCACCAATACACAGATGATTTGTCCTGGTCCCTGGGGACACTGATACTCAGGATTTTCCACTAATCACCACTATAAGGTTAGCTCAGAAAGTCATTCTGTGAGCAGGAAACTACATCAGACCTTCTGGCTAATGTCCTTAACTGCCTTTTGCTTTTTTTAGTGTCCTGACCGGACGTGTGGAGGAGAAGACACAGTTTGGAAAGACAGAGCAGGACAGCACACGAGGGAGGCAGGGGCAGTCAGGAGACAGGGGTTTTGCTTTCCTGCTGCACCGCCTGACCTCACACACATCGCCCAACCTCTGCCTCCGCTCCCACTCCTTGGTGCATAGCTATCGGACAGCTCTTCCCAGTGTGGGCAGCCACAAAGCTCGCTCTGGGGCTCAGGGACCTTAAAGTCAAGGAGGACTGCTAAGATTACCTACTCCAGCGTTTTGTGTTGGCTGAGCCATTGCATTGAAACAAATAATTTATGTTTGTTTAAAATATCTCTTCCAGCAAGGCATCCAGGCTTTGTCTGAAAGCATCCATCAACACAGAAGTTCTCATGCAAAGTTCTTCAGCTCCATATCTGTTTGCTGCTTCACTCTTTGCTGGATAACTGAGCTGCTCAGCATGGCCTACGATTTTTATTTTTTTTTTCCAGGAAGGTACTTATGTAACATATTTACTTCACCTCTCAATATTTTCTTTTGCCAATAAAACATATTTAACCAACTGATGTTCTTGTTCTGAAGTGTTCTCTCAGCCTTCATGGCAATTCTGTACCTTCCTTTACAAGTTTTCCTACTTCCTACAGCACCAGAACAACGTGCCACAGCAGGACAGTTTTGCAGTAGATGTAATGGCCCGGGACAGAAGTGAGGCAGGCTTTGTGGAGAGAAATCTTACACTTTACACTTTATTAGAGCAACTGACTTAGAAGGAAAAGTTCTCACACCCATGCTATTCTTTGTTTTTTGGGTCCTAGACTACTGACGTACAGAGGAACTGAATCACCCTCATAGTCCCACTGTTGATCCCCTTACTCATAGGCAAGAATTGTATTAACTTGCCTTGTCTCTGTGAGAGACAATGGCAGACATTTGGGCTGGCTTATCTGCTCTGGCCCTTGCTTTCCACAAGTTGCTACAGATACCCGAGGCAACATGCTTTGGGTTGTGACCTTTGTTGGACTTTTGTTGTGACCTTGAATAGTCCTAATGTAAACCAATAGCAAATAAAGGATGGGAGAAAGGCTCTTTAAAGACTGGTCCAGCTCTTCAAAGGGGGAAAGTTTGTCCTAGCAGAAAAGTGAGATTTATTTGAAAGATTTTAAAATGTGTACTGAAGACTTTTGACAACTGATTTTGGCCTGAAAGATGACATGAAATTCTGCTGTCCAAAGCTGTCATGTCATCTGTGGTTGTTAATCTCTTCTGGAGCTCCCTGAAACACATTTTAATCTCTGGCATGCCCAATATTCCCTGGTGTTATTCTCCAAACATCACTTTTTTCCTTCTGATTCATCCCTTGGACTTGTCTTCTAGTTGAAGCTAAAAATGGCTGTGCCCTGAATGAGACAAGCTGCTGTGCAGTGTGGAGCAACTCCCAAGTGTTGGTTTGAAATGTCCAAACAATGAAGCAACGAGTGATGTTGGGAGCTCACACGAGAGGAGACAGGGCCTCCACCACCACTGGCCAACACCCTCAGTGCTTTTCTCTATGACCTGTAGCACAGAAGAGATACTTCTGTAAATGGAGTTGGTCAAGGGTATCTGCTTGAGGAGAAGTTCCCCTATTTAAGAATTAAGAAAGGAACTAATTCTCCCAGTTGAATGATGTTTTGGATCCTATTACTGGTTTCTGAATTCAGCCACTGTCAGGAGGATATAACTGATGCAGCTCCTGTGTAGTTATGTATGGGCATCACAGCATCATGTTCAAGCTAACAAACTGATCCAAAACTGGGAGCCCTGAGAATATGGTACAGAGACTCAGAGAACTGATCAGCAGCTGATAAACTAAGGAATCTCACAAGAATCATCCCAAAGGCATCCATCATTTTGGCAGAAATCTGATTGTACAGGCTTTGGGGAAAATATTTTCCTTACAGACAATGTAAAAAGCAAAAGGGAGAGAGGTGAGTTTGGGCTTTTGTCAGTTTTTTATTGTATTCTCAGTCCAGGGGCAAAGCTTTGATCTGTCTAAACCAGTTCATTTATTACGGCTATGAAGACAAACTGAAAGATTTTCACTCTTTCCTAGGCTACCTTGGTGTGTATGTCTTCTGGCTCCTGACATGCATGTAATTGCCACATCAGTAAATTCTGCAAATGTGGCTGCTCACTCAGAACTCCGTCCTAAGCACTGGAAAACTCCTGCAGCCTGAGAAATATAGCTAATAGGATCCATCTGCTTTGGAGACATTTTTAATTCCTATGATTTACTCGTTAATTTTCTCTTCTCTAATTACACACAAACGTTAGTGGGGGAACTGGAAGAAGAGAAACGGGGAAAAAAAGAGCTGGCTGGTAGGGACCGACTGCACTTCGTGTTGCAGTCACTAGCCGGCGTGATCCTCACAGTCATTGCAACACAGCCTGGGTCCCGGCTCTTTCTCAGAGACGGATTGTGAAATGAGGAATCTTTTTCAAGAAAAATAGCAAAAGGGAGAATCCTGATAGATGAGGGTGAATTGTGCCCTAAGTCTAAAGGTATTCTCAATGGGCTAGGTGTTATTACAACTATTAGTATTGTTATGAGGCTCTGAATGAATGGACCAACCCTCGCCAATTCAGACCCATGCACCAAGACCTGGATGGGGAAGAGGATATTCAAGCAACAACAAAAAAAAAAAAAAAAAAAAAAAAAAAAAAAAAAAAAAAGCAAAGTTATCCAGCAAAAAGGTGAGCCGGAGAGGCAGCACTAGCCACTGTGTGCCCTGTGCCCCTGCAGAGACGTGCTCCCTCCTGCTGCCCCCTGCCAGGCCAGCAACCTGCCCCACACGGCTGCAGCTGCACTGGGTGGCACAGCACAGCTCGGTGCCGTGGGGGAATGTGTAGATACTCCAAGTGTTTGCATTTTGGAGTGGGGAAACAACATACAAATTCCCCAGGATCCTAACCTAATTTAATCGCCTGTGCCTGCGCTGGCAGCTCCCTTCCCAAGGCTGCATGCAGAGGACGGTCAGCAGCTCCACGAGGCATCTGGCACAGAGAATCACAACATTTTCAGGCAGTTGCTTCAAAGGTCCAGCAAACCAGTTGTACAGCCAGTTTCAGACACACCTAAGTTATGCCTGTGCTCCACAAGGGACACAAACTGATTCTGGAAATATCTGTTCACCTGCCCTGACCCACTGCTGTGCAGGTACCATGCAGCATGTCACCAGCTGCCTGCAGCACTCACTGCGTGTCTCTGACTCCTTTCCTGCCTGGGCTTCTCAGAAATGGCAAGCAAACCACACGCAGGCAAAATGTGCATGTGCAGCAACGTGAATGCTATGGTTTGACTTTCCACAATGGTAGGGGTTTGCCTCACACTCACTTTCTGTTCCTTTGAGCTCTGTGTTTAGTTATTTCTTGGTTTTACCTTTCCTGGCTCCACTACTGAGGGACCTCCACAGCCCCCCACAAGGCTCGGGGTCTCCCACAGCTGCTGCCCCCGAGGGGCTGCATGAAGCCAGGAATTTAAAAAAGCCAAATTACCTAAACCTGAACCTGCTGCTGCCGCTCCTGGAGTTAAGGCTAATTCCTGAGGGCACCACTCGACTTCATAAAACCTTTACAGGCACAGAAAAAGATGGAGAAGGAAAACAGTGACCAGAAGAAATCTTTATCTGTTTTCTCAACTTATACAGGTGTTACCCATGTATTTCCAAAAGGTGCTGGGTAGCTCTGATAGCCTTTATCAAAATCCTAATAATTAAGAAGCAAACTTTTTCTTTCCAGGAGAATGTGGGGCCAAATTTTAGCATCCTGGTGCCAGCATCTGATCGCCAAGTCACACAGATAGTCAGGCAGATATCTGCCATTTCTTTTCATATATTTCTGTATTTTTGTAGGTTTACCTTATTTAAGTTTACCTTATGAGCACAAATGCACTCGTGTTCACTCCTTTGATGAAAAAGTCCTGAAACCTTCATTTTGTCAAGATGAAACATTGAAATAACATGATCTAAGGACTCAGGCACACCGAGAAGCTGCAGTGTCAGCTAGTTTGTGCACCCCAAAGGAAGGGTACGTAATCCACAAAGGTTTCCTCAGATTGCTCTCACATTCCAGCAAGCACAGAGCCAGTCATCATCCTGTACCTTGCTTTGTTGAAAGGAATTTAGGCACCTCATTTCCATGGATATCAAACAGTTAGGTACTGAAATACCTGATCTCACCTGTGAAGTCTGCAGCTGAACCTAGGTATGAACCGACTCTTCCCAAGCACCATGACCAGGGAAGCATCCTCCCTTTGCTAGCTCTGAAAACATTACAATGGCATCTGGAAAAGAAAAGCAACAAAAGCAACAATCTGGGGAAGTCTGTGTGATTTTAGGTTACTAATAAAAATATGTGATAAATTCACTTCAGATTATTAGCCACATTGTTTATGTGAGATAGCCATTAAAAGAGATAGCTAAAACAAGGAAAAAAAAACAAAAACACCAGAATTTTGTATGAAAATTATTTGTATAATCTTTTCCTGGCTTTATGTTGTTTACATTTTAAATGTTATCCTCCAATATTTTATTGTTAATTTTACTATTTCCAATTTTTAAATTCCACCAGCAACAAACCAAGACAGACCACACAGGCTGCATTTCTGCAAGCTCCATTTAAGCCATTCTGCCTCCAGTTCTGAAATCCAAAAAGCTGACGAATTTCTCTCATAGCCCTACTCCTGATTTTTAACGACCTCTCCGTGATGCAGGTGTGAACTACGAAGGTGTTTGATGTCACGGGTTTACGAGGCCATGATTAATAGGCCAGGCAGAACTGCAGGACCCAGGAATGCTGCCTGGCTCCCAGGCCCCAGGTCTGGGCCTAAGCACTGGCAAAGCTCCAGCGCTGTGACGGGACCAAGTCTCGACCCTGCTCAGCCCTTCCTGCACTTCAGTTTCCATGAGAAGAAACTCAAGCCTGTACGCTTAGAAATGCTCTGGAGTGTGCCTGAACAGGCCCCTGGTGAGGACAAGAAATGCAGTTTATTGCAGGGCACCGAACAGAGGCAGCCATACAGTCACATAATCAGGGTATAAGTGACATTAACACCATTTCCTCGGGTCTGCATTTCAACACTTCCTCTTCCATCCAAGGGAGAGGTGAGGGCAGGCTGTCTAGACACAAATTAGCACATACTCGTGGCTCTACCTCAGTGGCACAGACTCGTACGCACTGCCATATGGTTGCAGAAAGCACGGGCCAAGGCAGGGAGCAGGAGCCAGGTGCTGAGCTCATTCATGCCATTTCTCACCCGTATCACCTGGGGCCTCTCTGCAGGCCCTGGTTTGGTGCATGACATGAATTTTGAGCTCTGGAGTCATTGGTGGCTCTGACATGTGGCTGACAGCAATGCCAGCAAGGAGATCTTCCCTGCTGCCCTCTGCCTTGATAATTGGTTGATTACTTGGGTAGAAGAAGTCAAACCTTTCTCATCTTCTTTTACAGAAATCTCTTGCCCAGAGGTCTCGTAGATTTTCTATAATAGGTACTGAAAACATTTTGGCTCTATCCATTCTAGTAGCCAATGTGTTTTCAATCCCGCCTGAAGGGGAGTGGATGTATTTTTGACAAGTGTTGTTAATAATGAGTCATTTTCTAGTGCAGACAGTCTCTTGGGTTTTAACCTATAGCTTTCTTTTTCACCCCACTTAGTTCTTCCCACGTGCAAAGTCATTTGGCTCTGCAGAGGCCCTGTCATGGTTATTTATGTACTCTGGATCTTTGTTTATTCCTCATCTCTCTCCTAGCACAGCTTGGTTCTGCATGGGAGTATCCCCAGGCAGAAAACAAAACACTTCAAAGAAAAGACACCATTATCTTCCTCCTCCTCCTATATGAGCTCCCTAGGTGGACTTTGCAAAGTCTGCACAGTTCTTGGCAAGGCACCAGATCAGTAGGAATATAAAAAAAACATTGACTTCGTACTTACTACATCTTTGTGACATGAAAGCGCTTCATTTTCAGTGTTATATTTTCCCCTTATGTTTTCATTCTTCCGTTTGCATATGGAGAATTTGAGCTTGGAGGAGGATCTGAAACTTGTGTCATCTCCAGTCACTGTAAGACACATAGCCCTATCTGGAAACTGCACACATTCACACCCTGCATCCCACAGCCAGATACAAACACCTCTCTGCAGAAGATGCGGTCCATTTGGTGCCCTCACCAGGAGCATTCCCACTGCCCTGATACTCGAGGCAAGCGGGTGATGCTCATTCTGCCCTTTAAAGCACACCCCACGTCTTAAGGCTCTCTTGTTTATCTAAAGTTGTATGTTGAGACAAAGGCTGTATTAGACACTCTGGGTGGGTACAGTGCCTAAAAAAACAGAGTTCCAATTTCTGATGGGATCTGGGTGTTTCTATACTATAAATAATAAATAGCAATTACAATACAGGCATTTACAGAAATATATACCCATATATATACATATATACTTTATTTCCTCAACATTTTTTCTTTGTTACTATTTGGCAATGCACTTGGCAAGGAAAAACACAATTAGAAATGCCCTGTATTGTGCCAAGAACGTTAAACAGTGTAATGAGTTTTTTTGTATATATGTGGTATTTCACTGCTGTTCTTTACTGAATTGAATGACCTGACTAATAGTTTTTCATCAGTTCTTACAGGCAAGTCTCGTGATTTCACTCTCTGAGTAGCAGTTGGATTTTAAGAGCTGGAAGACTCAAATCATATTTCCGACATTAGGTATTAATTGCCCATCTGTGGTTAGGTGCCTGTGGGTTAAGGCAACGTAATTCCTTGTTCCTGAATGAAATATCTGTCACTGCCAGTCTGCACTGTGATCTCAAACAGTTTAAATCTTCTACAGAAGATTGAGCACAACACCATACCCATAGCTGCTACAGACAAGCAGAACACTGAAGAACAAACACTCACCTAGAGCGTGTATCATGGTTCCCGCTTTTTTGCATTATGCGACCAAATGAGCATGGTCCCCACGAAGCTGGGAGAGGACTACGCTGCACTGGAGATAGCTCACGGTTCAGAAATGACTGCAGCTTTGAGCACGCTCTCCCCTGCTGTCTAGGGTTTGAAGACTGCAGTGAAAATGAATGCAGGTCAGTGAGTCAGTTGCTTGAATTTCTTCTGTTAACCAGTTATGGGAACGTCCACATGCTTCAGGGCTTCACTTTGCACAATTTCCCTGTTGAAAATTGCAAAACTTGCCTTGCACACTAGTGGTGGTGTAGATACAACTGTGAAGGTGGTATATTTCCTTACTTCACAACAACAGGAGACATCACAGAGTGTGGCTACTTCTTACACTTTGAAATCATAGTATGACAAAAGAACATTAGTGCTGTATGGCTCCATTTTGGAGATGAGGTTTTCTTTTGAAATGTAACCCCTCAGCCTCAGGAGAGGATGCCTAGTTTGTCCTACAGATGCCTGTGCTCCAACTTCTCCTTGGCTGTTTACACACTGTCCTTTGTATAGGCACCGAGCTTACTCCTGCAACATGTTGAGTGCCTCCTTGTAGGCGCTGATAGCTCCATCGTGTCACTGTCTGCGATGGGAGGGAAACGGTGCAGGCGAATGTTTATGGTGCCATAAAAACCAACAACAGTAATGAGGTGGTGACACGAGCAATACAATCTCTGCACCACTCCCAAGCTGTGCCTCTGTTCAGCGGATTCATCATCACTGCCTCTCTGACATGGCACTCCCCCAACTCTCTGGAAGGAAATCCTCAACAATCATTTCATTAACAAGGAACAAAGTACCAGCTTAGAGATGAAGGTGCTAATTGTGTCACATCAGCAGCCAGAAGAAACAATTCCTCTAGGATCACACACATTAATCTTCTGTGGCTGCTGGTCAGAGTGAGAGGCATTCCCATAGCAGTGATGACAGCTGCTATTAAGACAGCAAAATACTCTGCAAGCATGGCCATTAATGCTGCCAGCCAGGAAGCTGGGGATTCACATCTCTGTCAGATCTCAGTCTCTGGCAGTTGCTTGTTGGATAAGCATGAGGTGATAAAACAGAACACCTTGCTGAAAGGAAAAGAAATGTAATGGCTTTCCATGCATGGACTGCTGCACTGGTGAAAGCGAGGCTTGGTTAAGCAGCACAGACCTGACTGGGTCACACTTTCTGGTCCAAAGCAACTCCATGATGCTGTCTCGAGGTTTTTTGACAGTGCTGATGAAGATAAAAGATAAGGATAAATTGTTATAATATTAATAGGATAACAGATAAATATCACTATTTTTACGATGTGGCTGCTGGAACAGGGATGTGCTCAATTGTGCATCTCCGTAGTGAATATTTTCAGGGAAAGAGCTTTGCCTGCTTGTGTTTACATCCTGCCCTCACCAACTGGCATCTGAGCATCACAGAAGTGGTGTTTGGAAATGATTTCTGGGGTACCTAGTCCAGTCTCCCATTTGTCTATTGGACTATTGCCAGCACTAGATCAGGGCAGCCAAAGCTGAAAGCCCCAGGGCACAACTACCACACAGCCTATCCGGTAACCTCTTTGCTGCACTGTCTTTCTAGTGTTGTTTTCTGCAAGGCCCAGTGAAAATATCCTAACCCATAACTTGTCGCTGAAGCACAATGGAAGTGAAGTAACCAAAGACAGCAGATTTGGTCACCCAGCTCTGCACGCATACTTACTTGAAATACAGGACCTCAGACCCAACTCCCATGTACTCCTCCTCATGCTTCTCAGCAAATTTGCCTTAGAAAGGCAAATGGGTGACTCAGCCCTGCAGGCTGGCAGAAATCTACGCCTGGGAGAACAGCATTTCCAATTCCATCCAAATTTCATGACCCTTCCTAGGGACAAATACCTCCCCTCCTCCCCACCCTGGGGCCTGACAGTGTTCCTTAAACTCATGACAAGGTTTAGGACTCTGTCACTGGTTTTTCAAGCTCCACCAGAAAAATTGAAAACATTGCCAATCTTCTCCTTTGCAAAACTTCCAGTTAGGCATATTCTGTGACAAGGAGTTGGTGTTAAGTGAGGAAAGAGCCCAGACTGCCATGCCAGGTGCCAAAGCACATTGGGGATGCGACAATAGCTCAGCCACAGAGTGCACAAAGACAGTACACGTCTGGCTGGAATCAAAGCCTGTTCCTTCCCTGAGCTGGCAGCTTACCTTCATTTCCTTCTGCAAGACCCTGACTGACCTCAACACCGTATGAGCCCTTGCCCCATCTCCTTCAGTTGGTCTATCCATCTCTTGGTCTGAGACACAAATAGGCTTTCGTGTGAATTAAAGGTTCCAAGAAGAAGAGAAACTTGCTGCATCAGTCAAATTCCTGCACTTTTCCTTTTCTAACTTGTAGCTGGGCAAACATCCATAGAGTCCAGTAGCTAGACAGCAACAAGAAGCAGGGAAAGAAGAAAGGTAGAAAAGAAAACAAAAAATGTATGAGTTAAAGTTACAAAATAGAGAACAGAGGATAAAGTCTGGCAAAATGAGTAAGGGAATAGGAATAAAGAGGGAAGATAAGGGGATAAGAAGAAGCTTTGAGAAAAGTGGCATATAGCTTCTGCCTGGAGAGCAACCATAGATTTAGATTTCACTATTAAAAAAGGGAATCAATGGCTGGCCCTGAGCCTCACGCTGGCAGCCTCTGCTGTTCTGATCTCAGGACTAGCATCTGTCAGCAATTTCAAGAGGAACCATTAGAAATCACAACGTTTAATAGTTTGTCTTGGCCCCCTGGAATTTTACCACCCCCATCAGCTACTGAAAAAAAAAAAAAAAAAAAAAAGCAGGGGGTTGAAAGGAGGAGTGGGGAGGAGAGTGGAAGAGGAGAAGTGAAAACAAAATGGTACTTGTACGGTTCAATGCGTGCCTCTCCCTTTCCCCCTGCTTATATGCCACATCCGCAGAGGTGATATATAGATGGTGGTTTTGGCCTCATTCCTGTGAGCTGTAACAACACGGATGCTGGTTTCGAGGAGAGCCCTGGGCTGGCTGGAAATTCCCGCTGCAGGCAGCCCTGCTGGGGAGCCTTCCCGGAAGCAGAACAGACCCAGAGATTTACAGTGCTCTGCAAAGCAAATTGTTCCTGACACTCCTGACACAGAGTGACTTGTGGGCATCTCTCACATAAATCCGACAGAAAGAGAGATGTAGCGCTTCCCAGAAGTGGTTCAGTCACACAGCTACCACCAGACGATTTATTCCATCTGTTCTTCTCCCCGGATCTCTAAATAGCGAACCACAAAAGGCAGTGTGGGGAGCGGGAGAGGCAGGAGCACTTTCTCAGAGCACTTCGCCAACCCTGGGCATGGGCAGTGCGTGGTGGTCAGCCCCAGAGAGGGCACCTGACAGGCACAATAAAAAGATTTTTAAATAAAGCATCTTAAGGGCTGGTCCTGCTTGGCATCAATAAACCAGTGTAACAAAACTGAATGAGGAAAACAAATCATTGCAACGAGGTTTGAATACTTTTCTACATTTCTACAGTGACAGAAGTGTGAATTGAAACTACTGTGCTGAAGGAGTGACTTACGTGGCAGCTGAAGGACGGGCTGTCATGCTGGGAAGGAACCCAGTAACTGAGAAGCACCAGAATCAGGCGTCTTTGGTTCATTTTTCTCTAAGAGCCGCCTAAATCCAGCCTCAAATATAAAGCTTTTAAATGTAAAAGCACACAAAAGACTGCAGGGAGTTTCAGGTTCGGATCTGAACTCCGATTATGCTTCAAATTCTGTAACGAGCTTAGCATCCCCTGTATGCTTCCTAGGAGGTGAGACGGGTTTGTGTCCACCGAGCTTACGCAGCATGAACCTCATGCTCTTGTACCTGTGTTAGGCATACGATGTAACTAGGAAGCATTTCCCTTCTGCACCTGCTGCTTTATACAGAATTTGCCCTTTCTCTGCAGTGCTGGAGCTAGCAATACCCAGGGACAGGCCGTGCAGGAGATACACCGGTAATCCTGGCCTCGGTCACATCCCGGAGCTGCCCAGTTTATTAAGCCTACAACCAGAGTGGGAGGCAGGAGGGAATTTTGTGAGATTTTTGAAGTGAGATTATTAAGGAGGGAGCACTAGGGTGCTTTTACTCTCCTCGGTGGCATGGGATATAGCCGTGCCTTGGGGTTACTTGCAAGTTTTATCTGACAAATTCCTTGACGCGGCATTAAGACCTTTGTGCTCTCTCCTACGCCATGTTCTGGTTATAACTGTTGGCCTTTAACAATGTGATTTATGTTTCATGGCTTTGGGAGGTATTTTGTGGTTTACAGAGACTCAAGGACCAGCTGGACCTTGCCAGTCCTGTGCTTCGCCAGACTGAGGAGACAGCATGCTTGTAGGGGTTAGGCTGAGCCCTCAGCACTAGCTGTGAGTGACAGAGAAGAATATGGACTTTGACTTGGCATCCCCAGAGACAGCAAACTGTACCTCAAGTCCACGTTCCTCTGCAGCAATGAAATACATTTGCCCACAGACCTTCTGACTTTTCAGTGACATTTTGCTAGGAAATGGCTAAATACAGAGATTTGATAAGTTGCTCCGGGGCAGAAGGCCATGTTACCACTGTAATCATTTGATTTACACTTCCTGCACAAAGAATCCTGCTGCAGTTTGCAGATGACCCCCAGGACCCCAACCTAGCATCTCTCCTGACCTCAGAAGAGGTGAACACCTTCATCAGCTAGTGGGACAGATTGAGCAAGGAGTGAAAGAAAGACCCTGGGGAAAGATCTCTCAGTCTGTGCTTAGTTTACAGAGACTTAAAAATCTTCCAAACAGGGAAACGCCAAGTAAGTTTTAAAACCTTCCAAACAGGGAGAGCTCAATGAGTTTTTCAGATCCCCTGGACGCTTGAATCATGTGCAAACACAATGTGACTTGCAACATTTCATAGCCCAAATTCCAGCAACACCATAAAACAAAACCTACTTTTATATAATATTTCCACACCAGGGACAGGGTGACAGACAAGTGACAGGGCAGATAAGTTTAATAAGACCATTAAGCAGTCAGCACTGTCTTGGCTATGAGATCTTGATTTGTCTACACATGAAACATTCATGACATTTGGAGTGTAGCTGAGTTATAGAAAAATGTCTACGATAGGCCAAATTACACTTGGCTACCTTTAACCTTGGACTAGGTTTCCACACAGAGAAGAGAGGAAGCTGTAGGTACCAGACTATTTTAAGTTACTGAAGAGATAACCTCCCATTTTATACATTTAAATCACATTTGAAAGATTCCACTATGTTTTATGACTTAACCCTATCTCTATTTTCATCACCAATTAGCTAATCGAGTAATCTTTTAATTTTTTTATTTTTTTTTTTTCACTGAAAGAAAAAAAATGTTTCCTGGCTAATTTGACACAACTCAAGATTTTAGAAAGGAACAGAGGAATCTTAGCATCTGTTTTCACATTGCCTTGACAGGGACAGACCTCAATTAAGCATCTTATTAAATGTGTCTCCTCCTGCTTTATATCAAGTCCCAGTGCTTTTGCTGAAAGTTAAAAATGTGCACACATGCTAACCACAGACTTCAAGTCCAAAGGTGGCGGAGCTGTCAATAAAGTAAGAAATACAGATTAGCTGCAAAGAAGATGGATCATGGAAACTAAAAGAGATTGTGGCAGCTTGGCTAGTATCTAGGAACACTTTAGATCCAAGTATATTTGGACATCTACTGGGGGAAGTTATCTAGCACAAAATATTCTCAAAACCAGAGCCAACTACTTTTAAATTCATTTGATGCTTTTTCCATGTTGTTCATTTTGCCATAACTGGCTGATTTGATTGATGATGCCCTTTTAGTACTCTTGCAGGTACCTCTGACATCCAGGTCCTTCCCACTGCTACAGTTAGGGCAATTTCAGTTATATGCAGGAATCAATCAGCCTATTTGGACACATGAAGAAGTAAAAAAGTAAATAATAAAAAATGATCTTGAGTTTTCCAGAATCATTTTCTCTCTTCCAAATGCTCAACATTTGCAAAAGATTTGTATAAACACAGAGCTTGTTTTTCTAGACCAAATCCGTGTGCCTGCTACAGTCTGTCCACCGATTGCCCTCGAGCTAGCCCCTCAGCTACCACAAACCAGCTTGCACTAAGGAAGTCAGTAAAGCAGCATTGCTTTACACCAGGCAAAGACCTGGTCCATCATGTTCTTCCTGTACAAATTCCTGTTTGTTCAAATT